TAATTATTAATTAAATAATTGAATTTTTTATAAATTATTAATATATCTTTAATTATTAATTAAATAATTGAATTTTTTATAAATTATTAATATATCTTTAATTATTAATTAAATAATTGAATTTTTATAAATTATAATATTAATATATCTTTAATTATTATTAATTAAATAATTAATTATTTTCCATAGCACAAAAACTACAGCATTTAGTACCAATTGTAATAATACAATACGAGAAAATATTTCAAATTTATTTGGCGCGAAATGCGTGTCCCAAACTATACCATTAGATTTTGTTCTTAAAATAAATCCCAAAAAACAAATGATATCTGAAGAACACCAATTTCTTGGGTAATTAAAAAAAAAATAATATTTTAATCTTTAGCTTTTAATCTTTAGATGTTAAAATAATAAATAATTTATATATAATTTCAGTGATGAATGTTCCATCCATGTTATTGGTTACATATCAAAACCTTTGAAAGGTTATGGTCGTGGAAGTGCGGATAGACAATATTATTTTATTAATGGTCGACCTTGTAATTTGCCAAAAGTTATTATATATATTTTATTATTATTATATTTGAATTATATTTTACATCTATTTTTGACATATATTTTAAAAATTATATTTATTTCTTTCTCTTATCCAATTTACTCAATTAACTCAATTAGATCGCAAAAGTCATGAACGAATTGTATAAGAGTTTTAACACGAATCAATATCCGTTTCTTATCTCTGATTTTCAACTAGCAAAATGTTTGTTAATTACTTAATTTTATTTAAAATATTTATTAGATATTTAATTAATTTCTAAAATTTATTTATTTTAATTTATTGGTTTAATTTATTGATTTAATTTATTGATTATATGTAGTTTCTTATGATGTCAATGTTAGTCCTGATAAAAGGACTATCTTTATTCATAATGAAAATGAAATTATTGAGGCATTGAAGGTGATTATAATTAATTATAAATTAATTATAAATTAATTATAAATAATTATAATTCATTTAATTTCTTAACTTTTCTTAAATTTTATTCATTATTTTTATATCCTTATTTATTTTCATTAAAGATCGAGATGAATCGCGTTTTAGAACCATTTCGATCCACCTTTGAAAGTCATAATACTGAAATTATAAGATTATCTACTAATGAAAATTCAGAAAATTCAGAAAATACAGAAAATGCTTTATGCCACGTGAATACAAACCATATTGAGAAAGGTCAACAAAATCGATGTGAAGTTGAGGTAGAAGACAAAAAAATTAGAGATGACACGGCAGAGTATACAGAGAATGTAAAAAATTATAAAATGCCAATAGGAAAAATTAATGAAAATGTTGGACCTGTATATTGTACGTTATCCGAAGGAAATTTAATATCAGATTGTGCAAAACCCGGATCTTTGGGAAATTTGAAAGCATTCGACTCAACTAGATTGCCATCTTCAATTCCCTCGAAACGTAAGCTTTCTCATGAAAATACTGATAAATTTGCTGAAAGTATTAGTTTATTAGATGAGATCGAGAAAATATCTGATACAGTACACGAAAATCATGAGAAACGTAAGAAAGGAAATTTAGTTGATGTGAATGAACATCCTTGTAATGAAATTTTATCCAAGCATTATAATAACTATAGTGATGATTATTCTTTAACCACTGACAAAGATTTACTTTCACCATTAAAAGATGATATAACTAATGAACAAAATGAGCAAAATGAACAAAATGAACAAAATGAAAACGAATTAAAAAAGTTAAACATAAATGAGACACAAATAGAGCTACCCTTTGATATTACAAGATATGATGTAAATAAATTTGAGAACAAATTAACAACTTATATGGAAAATAAGAATGATAATATCAATAATAGAGCACATTTACACGACTTAGCTGGTATTAATATGATGGACAATGAAGTTGCAGAAGTTGAACTAAATAAAGTTATAACAAAGAAAGATTTTGTAAATATGGAAATCATCGGTCAATTTAATTTAGGATTTATTATTGTTAAACTTAATAATGATAAAAGTAATGAAAGCAATGGAGATTTATTCTTAATAGATCAACATGCAGCTGATGAGAAATATAATTTTGAGAATCTTCAGCTTTATACCAAGATCAAATCTCAGCGACTGATAAGGTGTTTTTTATTTTTATTTTTTTTAATTTTTTTAGATATATACTGAAATTTATTTAAATAAATTTTATTATTATTAAATTCATATTATTGTAATAATAATTAAAAATCAGTCCACGTAGACTTGAACTTACTGCAGCAGAAGAAATGGTTGCCATTGAAAACATAAAAATTTTGCAAGCTAATGGATTCGAATTAGAAATTGATCATGATGCAAAACCCACAAATAAATTAAAATTATTATCTCAACCCGTTAGTAAAAATACAATTTTTGGAGTTAAAGGTATTTTATAATAATTTTATGAATCATTTAACAATTATTTATAATTTTTATATAATCATTAACTAACAATCGTTTAGATTTGGAAGAATTAATTTTTTTACTGACAGATAGACCAGGGGAGATGGTTCGATGTTCACATATTCGAAATATGTTTGCATCCCGGGCTTGTCGCAAATCCGTGATGATAGGTGATGCATTAGGTCAACAAAAAATGGAAAAGGTTAATAATATTATAAGTTGAATGTTAGCCAATTATTCAATTATTGAATATTATTAATATTTTTTTTTTTTTTTTTACAGATAGTAAAACATATGGGAGAAATAGATCATCCTTGGGTAAGTGAGATAATATTCATATATGTTTCTTTGATTTATATTTTTATATTTGAATTCTTGATTTATATTCTTTATTTATATTCTTTATTTAGAATTGTCCACACGGTAGACCAACCATGCGTCATCTTTTTGACTTGTCACAAATTTCAGCTTTTCAGTCATATTCTACGCGTCAAAGAAATTACCAGGGCAGTCTTTTTATAAATAAATGGTAAAACAATTTTCCGTAATTTATTTAAACTATCTTTTTATTATTTCCTCCTAATCTAATATATTAATTATGATCTACATGTATATCTTCAACTTTTTTAACATTATAATTTTGGAAAAAAAGATAAATTGGATGGTAAATTTTTTATTTTATTTTAAATTTTATCCATTGTTATCATGTCAAATTTAATAATTATGTATGTTAATGAGAATTTTCATGAAAATGAATGCAATTGAACTTTATTCCCAAATTAAAATTTGGGTAGTTGCGAGTCGTATTCCTTTATCGATATAAAAAACCAATATTATTTGTATGTATTCTTATTTTTTTTTAACGTCTTTATTATTAATAAAGTTCGTTGGAGCAAAGATCAAAGACTCCGTTTGCTTAATTAAAAAAAGAATGTGAATTGAACGGGCAATACTAATTTTACTAATTTCGTAATGATAGATAATTTATCACTTGATCGAAAGTCGGAATTTTTTTTTTGTATAAAAAATATTATAACTTAAAAGGTTAAAGAAACAAAATTATCGTCCCCCAACAAATTCAATAATTAAAAAGTCATTGATATCTACAATAAATGGGACATAATATTTAAAAATTATAATACATTTAAGATATTCAAAGTGCAAACGAAAATCTAAAACTTCCCGCCAAAATACTCCAGACCAATTAAACAAATTTCAACTTTTCTCATGCTACCAACCCTTATTTTCACTTTGACTAAGATCAACGATACCAGTAGGTTTAGCAGATTTTAAACCTATAAGTTTGATCGTTGTGTCTGATATAATTTTATTTGATTCGGATCAGGATTACGAGGTAAACTGTTGAAATCATTATAGTATGGTGTCACTGTAGGAATAGATGAATAGATGAATGTTGAGAAGACGATGAAGATGTAGGCTTAGGTAATTGAGTAGGTTTTAGAATTTGTTGAGTTGATGCTGGCGAATTTGAAATAAAATTAGAATGGTAGTGGTTGACTGAGAATTTGTCAAATAACATTATACAAGAAAGATGAGAAAAGTGGATCGAGATTTAACGATGAACAGCAATAACAATGATCTAAAAATAATAAATTTATGATAGAAATTATAAAAATTATAAAATTTTCATTACCTTTTCCCAAAAATATCATTCATTATATTTAATTTTTAATTAGTTTTCATCAATTGTTTGTAAAAATATAAAAGATTGATATATCAAATATCATTTGAAACCGTAACTTGATTTTTATAAATTTAAAGTATCAGAGACGATTAAAGAATATTCAATACAACATGCATCACCTTAAAAAAGAGACAATAAATCATATTTCGAATCGCAAGAAATTTGAAATGACCGCCTGAACTATTGATTTTTTTGACAAATTTATTTATGTACAACAATTTTAAAATATACAAGATAAACTTGATGACTTTGTGGTTTGTTTGTATGTTTAGCATGAAGTGTTTCTTTAAACATAACAGTATTTATTACACGCATTCAATTTATATTCAATTATAGAAAGAAAATATAAAAATAATTTATCAAAATCAAATTATTACAATCAGAATAATCTTCTTGTTATAGTTGACTTTACATTCTTCTCAACCATCTCACTTAAAGAAAATGTCCTTCATGATTGTTGACTTTAGAATGTAAAGAAATAAAAGTATTTTTAGTA